CTGCTTGTACAAGCGTTGCCCAAATGTAATAGGTCTATAGCTAGTTTGCAGTTGATGCCCTTTGTCATATGCCTCACAACACAAATTGCTTCTCAAAAGCTATTTTGTTACACTAAAATTGCTGTGTTGATAGATCAGGCACTAGAAACACATTCGGGGTATCAGTGTTTCTCTTGCAAAAAGAAATCAGTTGCTCAAAACTTCTACTGACCTTTGAGCACTGAAAGCTTTAAATGAAGGCACTGATCCCTTGCTACAAGTTGATTATTAGTTTCTTTTTTCATATCAGAATGTTAAGCCTATTCAAAACAAAGCTGGTGGAAAGATGGTAATTTTGCCAGTTTCAATTTTCCAGACTTACAAAAGTATACCTCTGAAAGACATACTTGATCCTCTGCTTTTTTGTTGTTGTTTGTAAATATGGATCAGTCTTCAGTACAGGTAGGTGCTCTGGTCCTTGTGAGTGACCACATCTCTTTGTTGACGTGCTAAGGCATAATGTATTAGCTTTAAAATTACTTTCAAACCTACTACAAGTGCCACAGATTCCTGTTGCTTGTGCATACTCCTGGCTTGAAAATTCTGCAGGCGTCTGTCCCTGTCTGCGTCTGTTTTGCTGCTGGGAGAACATGGTGTTTTCTGGTGCTCATCACATGCAAAGTCGTTCAGTTACTCACAGTTAATGAACACCATCTCCTGTTACATCTGGATCTCTAGGGGCTGAGAATGGTCACTTAAGGGGTTTTTTTGCTCCTTAAGTGTGAGATTACTCTAATGTGCTGTTACAGGCTTCATTTGAGACTACATTAAGATTCCTGCCGCTAGCACGGTAGCTGTTAGAGCCAAGAATTACTAGACTACATTTACATGCATTAAGCAGATACATGCTGTGAGTTCATTTAACTGCCATTTTCTTTTATTAGCCTGGAAAAGCTTCTCCCTTTTTAGTTTTGTACTTACTGCAGCAGCAAATTTGGAAGCTGCATAAGCTTAAGATCCTGGAACAGCTTTCTGAAAGGAAGCAGTGAGATAAAGGGTTTTAATACTGTCTTACAAAAGGGGAACAGCTTAGCATGGGTGTTTGAAGAATGGTATCTAGCCTCAGTGGTGTTTATTCTGGAAGTCTTTTAGTGGAATTTTTCATTTGGATAATCTTTACATGTAAACCACTCTTTCCCTAACCATAAAGCCAGTGTTATTACTTGTCCCTTAGTATTGCTAGCGCACAGAAAGGATATTTCTGTGTAGGGTTTGGCTTTCATTCTTACTGTCAGGAATGCTGAGGAAGAAATGGCAGTTCTATCTAGAGCAGTAGGTGCTGCTTCCTGACGGATGCACCGCAGTTGTTCATGAAGCTGATGAGACAATATGGATGTGGTGGAAGGGTGCACCAGCTCTACACGTTAACTGAGGCAAGCGAAGTGGTGAGCATAATTCCTCTTCTGCATGGCTGACTGAAATGCTTTTTAGGGCTGAAGATATCTATGACCTACTTCTGCTCGGAAAGGATTTACATATGGAAAGGTCCCTTAATTTGAGCACAATTACTTCATGCTAGAGCACCCACTCTACAAGCTGTTTTTCTGCACTCTTGAAATCTACCCAAGCAGCTACTGCTTCCAAGCAAAACAAATCAAAGATTGGATGCCACTACAGTGGCACAGCCCCGAGGCACTGATTTGGTGAACAAAAGTTAGTTGGTTTGTTTGTTTCCTGGAGGATAGCCAATGTGTCTTGTTTGATTAGAGCTTGCAGGCAATTTACTCTGGTTTAGGTGAGAACTGCATATGCTGCAGTGTCCCACAACTGAGGCAGCTTGGGACCAGGTGATCTGGCAACAGCAGTCATTCAGTGCATGTGTTACAGAATCAAAAAGTAGTAACTGTCATCACCTTGTCCCCGAGCACTTGAGTAACACAATAGGAATCAAAGTAATGTTTTTCTTCATTCCCGTGGCCACTGAGGTAAGGGAGAGGTTTTGGGAGTCTCTCTGCTGTTCGAATGGATTCTGCAGATACAGAATTCTAAAATGGTTAGTGATAAAATACAGTTGGAAATTTTTCCATATGCCCTGGAAGTGGCTCAGAGCCAGTCAATGAAGCTGAACAGAATTAAACTGCTGTTCAGAACAGTTACTTAACAGCCTAGTTCTCCCTAGCTGCTTCTTCCTGAGAGCTGGAATCCTTAATGACTAAATCCCTCCTCACAGCACCTTAATCTGTGATGTGCATTTGTCCTGTATCTAGACTCTTGGTTTTAAATTCCAATGGAACAACTGTCCCAATTCCTCATTGTCTCAAGGGCTCTGTATTGCACAGTTGTATCCTGGTGCAAGTATCTGGGTGTCTGCCTGAATGCACTCGTGCAATTGTGAAACCAGCATGGAACGCTTGGCTGACCCGTATGTTGCATGAAGGGAGAAGCTACAGTTACTTTCACAGAGACCCAAACTGTGCCACCACATCACATATCACTATGTGAAAAGTGTGGCCCTCCATAAGGACAGAACTCTAGGCATCAAGGAGTACAGTGCAGGTGTTTGGTATGTTAAAAAAAAATACTAGGAGAAAAAAACAGAGCACAATATAGAGGGGACGGTGTCATTTGCAGCTGTAAGATACGGAGCTTACAGATGTCTGTCAGTTATTGGATATATAACCTGGTGTAAGACGCACAAGATTGTCTCATCAAGCCACTTTATTCACTTGCTTGTAAGGGAATTATGCCTCAATCTGCAGTGATAGAACCAGGTCAGCTCTGCAGGAGATTATTTGTTCTGATGCCAGGTGGAGCTATGTACCATTTGTCCTTAGAACAGTAATTTTTTCCCTTACTTCCAGACTCAGCTAAGGTAAAATACAGATTTTTCAACATGTAGGCTAGGGTGAAATCAGTAAAGAACAATTCCAAACATTAAGCTTGATGACTGACAGTTTACTCCCAAAGCTATGCAAGCTCAGTGGCAACAATTCCTTCTAAGATCATCTCAAAGCCTAAGTTATGTTGTGAAATAAATTAGGTCAACATGCTGCTGCTGGTGGAGAAGTAATAGACAAGGTTGTCTTAAAAGAATCAGTTCAATGAACCATTTTAAAATAACTGGCCTGAATAATAATGATGTCCCTCTTATTAATTAGGCAGCACTAAAACACTGTGCTGAATAGTCTGTTACAAGGGAAAAGAGAATTCACTTGTTACTTCAGGAAGACGTTGTTCTCTGTTTCCTCTCAGCCTGCGACAACCCTTGCCAGGCTTGTAAAGGGAACAGGAGGATACTGTGGTTTCCCTGTTGAGGTTTGCTGCTCTTAATTTGCCTGAACACTTTTAAATTGTAATTATGTAGATACAATGAATGCTCAGTGATAGAATGGGACCACTTAACTATGGTAGGCTCCCAAGGCAGCCAGCTTTGATTGAGGGAAGTCCTGTGAAGTTGCAGTGGGACAGTCACACAAGGACAGAGCAGCCCCAGCACAAGGAGCTGAGAGCATTCAATCTTTTGGCACATATTTGTCACCTCCATTGTTCTCACCCTCTGCCTTTTATTTCAGATATTGGACAAAATCCCTCTTGTGTCCTAGTGGGGTTTGTAGTAGCTGGGGGAGCAGTTTTAATCCTCCTTTGCACTCTGCTACATGGGTAACCTATGGAAGAAGACGGACAGTAAATTTAAGAATGAGAAAAAGATGACTGGAGATGGCAGAACATGTTAATAGGAAAACAACTAGAACAGCAATTGCTAAACCACTTGGTGTGTCCACATGCTATGACAGATTTTCTGTCTGCTCATCCTAGTAATTGTAGAGGAGCTGGAGATTTTTAAGACTCGTAATAGAGCTCCAGGCAGAGAAAGATGTAAAGTGAGAGAATTTAATAGAGTGAAGCATATCATTCTGCTAAGCAGAAAAGATTGCTCCTGCAGTAAGTTGCTCCTGTAATCTTCAGAGAACTGCTTTAGCAAAGCACTGTGTTTCTATAAATAGGAGAGATGATTTTAAGCATGAGTGCAAATACTGGGGAAAAATAATTACAGATGCACTGCTGGAGAGGGGATGCTGCTATTAGTTCAACTACCCACAGGCATGTAAGGCACGTAAGCTTCTGAAGACAGCCTCAGAGAAAAAGCCTTGGTGAGAATGTATATACCACAAATAACTGTTATAAACTCGCAGCTAAAATACATGCTGATAGCCTGAGCCCACTGTAGGTATTTCTTTAGAGAGCTTCCATTAAAGGTTATCAGGTATCACTTGTTTGAAAAGACTTCCGGAGAGTCTGATATACTGGTAATCTTGTTTGACTTCATGCTGAAAATCAGTCTGCATGAACAGGTCGCTTAACTCATGGGAAATTATTTCTTAGGTTTAGGAATGCATAAAAAGTCTGCACATTTGATAACAAAATTCAAAGCACTGAAGACAATGAGTCAACTTGACTTTTGTCAACAATGACAAAAAGAATTCTGCATGCCCTTTAATAGTGTAGGTAAACTTTTTCAGATCTTCCACGAGAGACTAAAAACTAAGGTCATGGTTTATGCAAACCTGCACAGCATACATAGCATCACTGTTTTTATTGCAGTCTGATAGCCCTGCCAAGGATCATTTGTCATCAGTTTGAAGAAAGTGGTTTAACCTGTCCACAAGAATGCATGAGGAGACAAGTTTTCAGCTGAAGAACAGCAGCTTAACTGTACCACATTCAACCCAGGTCAGGCAATCTACAGCCTTAGCCTGATGAAAGGCTCAGCCAGTTTATTTTGATATGTCTCTGAACTGATGATATTTAAACAAATATAGCCAGAACTCAGGTAGTTAATGGTGAAAAGCCCCAGTGACATAACTGCATTTTCACATTCAGGAATCACAGGGGGATGATGACATCTCAGGTGAATTTGCATACAAGGGTTCTATCACACACTCTCTCAAGCACTCCATGCTGGCAAGCTTTTACTCAGTGCAAAAAGATTACAAAACTATTAAATAATCTTTAAAAAGGTGGTTTCAGGAAGCTTTATTTAATACTTTTGAATTTGTTACAGCATCAGTAAATCACATTTTGTATTACCCTGCTTTACACTCTCAAACCATTTTCACACTCTGTTACAGGAACTCTGTACTACTACCATCTTACACAATGAGTAGTTTAGTTTGTAAGCATATATAGTGTTTTTTGATTGTGACTGCTACGGACCTGAAGACAGGGTTACTTTATCACACGACCACACCACAGGCAAGGAAAACAGATCTCCTAAAACACTGTCATGCTGATAAACCATATGGCTGCTCCAAAGGCTTGTCCCTTCAGCTATCTTGACCCTAAAGAGCCAGATGCAATCCCATGCTATCACACTCTGTTGTTCATCTCAAAATAGGCACTAATTTTAGGCTTGTAGCCACTTTGGTGGTCATTAAGAAATTTGTTTATTATGAGTGAGGCAAATTCACTTCATATAGATTAACACAACTTTGTGCAAATGTCTTACTGCATAATGAGAAAAATAATTCTATATGGGATTCTTATACCCAACATTATTATTTTTTAAATTACTTTCTTATCCTAGATACTTTGTATGTCTACCTTGTGCAATTAATTTTCCTGTTGCCTTATTTGTTAAATCCACGGTGGCAAATGCAAGATTTCTTCCTTGCTTCAAAATCTGAGCTGTAATCAGTATCTCTTCTCCCATCTTAGCAGCAGAAGTATATCTTCAAGGAAGAGCAAAAGGAACAGGTAAGAGGCTTTATAGAGCACAAATCCAAGATTATTCCTGTGGTTTTAGATTATCACAAAGGGAATTAACAAAAGTGAGTAATAAAGACATATCATAACCGCCTGCTTGCAAATCACCACTTCGTAAAGTCCTTGAGTTCCTCTAAGTACTGCAGTGGTAGTTCAGTATAAGAATTCTCTGAGAAAATAGAGGACTGAAAAAAACCCATTGGCTTGATTCTGAGGAAGAGTCCATTTTGGAGCAGAAACAAATAGATACCAAAGACCTCAGTTAGAAGGTCAGCTCCAAGTCCTATTGCAGCCACTACTAGCTTCCTATAGCCTTTCTAAACTAGTCTAGCTGGTTCAGCTGCAAAATGTCTCTATTACAAAGACTCCAGAAGGTCATTTCTGTTATGGAACCGCAGCACAGGTTAACTGCTTCCCACACCATGATAAAAGTAATGGAAATCTGGGAGGCCTTCAAAACTTCCCAGGTTTGATGTTGTTTCCACTCATTAGATAACTCTTTTTTTTTATTTTCATGAGTTTTTATTTTCATTTATTTCCTCTCCAGGGAATAGGAAGAAACTCCCCTACAAATAGCCTGGAAAGAATTAGGATGAATATGATCCAACCATGATCTGAGGTAAGGGAACAATATTCAAATGTTAGAATTACAGAGGAAGATGTGTAATTGCTGGATATAAATCTTACTGAGATTACTTTCATCAACCAGTCCATTTTTATCCATGACACCATGTCAAAAGTATTCTCAGTCACGCCTAATACTGGTGTAGCACAAGCCCCACTAGTTGACAGAGGGTATGGTTTCAGTTTTGTTTCACTCTTAGAAGCTGCTGCTGATCCTCTTGTGATTTAAAAAAAAGCAACAAAAATATCCCAAACAAACAAAAAGCTTCTGTGTCTCTGTTCTTTCCATTACTGACATATTTCCCTTGTGTCAATGTTTTAAAAAGCTCCTTCCCCAAAAGGAAAAAGTTGTATTATAGCAATATTCAATATGCAATATCTCACTTGTTCAAGTAAGGCAGTAGTCTGGGTTAAACAAATCTATTAATATTGCTTGACATAACATTTCCAAAAGGTTATGCTACTCAGTTATTTTGGATCACCTCCAGAGACAGAATTATCTTAAGATTTTAGCCCTTCTGTAATTGGGTAGGCATACTTGATAATATAAATAATTTGTATGTTGGCCTCTTGTTATATTACTGTAGGGAAAAAAAACAACAGAATCACAGAATTTCAGGTTTTCATTTCCAGTAAGTTTCTAGTCATCACAGTGGCAGTATAAAGCTTAAATAGACTCTCCAGTCCCACCCATCCAGTGGAGAAATCAGAAGATGATGGGGTAGGTGGGGGAAAGGAGGGAACCTGGTAAAGATACAGATTGCTCCCCAGACACTTTTAAAACTTACATTTTCTGTTTAAGTCTTGATGATGGGATATTTTCCCAAGATTTTTAATGCTCTGTGTTAGTTATTCCAAGTAGGATTGCTTTACTTCCAATTAGTCATAATCTCTTCATTAAAAGTAATGAATCAAAGCTGACAAGCTGTAACTGCATGAGCAGAAAAGGTTTTAGAGCAACTTTTTTTAAAGACACTGTGCTTTTAAATTTGCATTACGGAAAGAACTATTCTCTGTATAAAACTCCCTTTAAATGACCTAGAGCAAAGGAATCTTCCTCCACTGAGAAATTCTAATCCAATCTGTAATTTGCTTTCTATGTGAGCATGCAACAGAGCTAAACTGTTTCCCATTTTAATATCTTCCCTGTTTTAATATTTTATTCAGTAATATTTAAAAAGGGCTTACAGAAAGCTGTTTACCATAGATCTTGGTGTTTGAGGACGCTCTAACATATCTTTACAAGCGAAGACAGAATTTGAGCCAATTTCTTAAGACTAAAGTTTACCACACATCAACATCCCTTCGTATTCTATGAATGAATGGACACCGTCTCTTAAATGTATGTAACAAATGAAAGATTAAAGTCCAACTCTAATTTTACAACCAAATGGTGTGTCTCCAAATACAACCTCCCCTTAATTTATCAAAACAAGACTTCTAAAATCACAGAAAACACTTTTTTAAGTGAGTACTACAGCACAGAAATGATGTACAATGGACTCAATACTGTGTTAGGGGATGAAAAGTTAGTATGTTTTGGTAAATATCGTGGCTGATACCTACGTGATGTTCATGTCCACACTGACCCCGGGCACTGCTCTTTCTGTGTACAGCAACGCTGCTGTTGACACCACATCCACAAGTGTGGCTGTCAAACCTCCATGTAATGTACCACCTCTGTTTGTGTGCTCCTCCTCTACTTTCATTTCACAAACAATTTTTCCAGGAGTTGCAGAAAGAAGTTTCATCTGTATAACCAAAACAAGAATAAAAAAAGCTTACTGACAATAGTACCAACACCCAATACTGCCCTGAATCAAACTGAAAGTAAATCTTGTTTAACTCTGGACTCATGAGACAGAAGATACAAAATATAGTAATTAAACTGTCATATTAGGTATTTCCATGCATTTTGAGCACAAGATTGTTGCCTTAGAAATCAAATGTCTTTCTAGTGCAGATAAACATTTAAACTGACAGCTTAACAAAGCTTCAATACTTACTACGCTCTCAGGAATTGCTTAGGAGACAACATTATTCTTTGGTTTTCCTTTTGCTTTAATCTGTGACTGAAACCCAGATTAGAGGGAACACAAAACTGCTCTATCTGTGTGTACCACACTTGTGAAGGCATATTTGTTAGCTCACTAAATGGAAACGAGACTGACAGTAATTCATTAATAATCATTCTATCAGAGCAACCTCAGTAAAAATCAGTATTTGGCCAGGAGCACTAGAAATGCTAATCAGATTGGTCCCCCTCAACTGAAATTCATATTCCTTGGCAGAAGTATCCAAGGTTGTATCACACTGTACTACAGCACTATGATTTGTGTATAAACTTTTATTCCAGCCCATAGGTATTAAATAGAAAATTACAGTACATCTATGGCACCATGTTTCCCCCTGCAATCAACACAAGCAGCTGGATTTTTGAGACCACAAAGTTACTGTGATTCAGTTAGTAGCATTATAGTCAAAATCCAAAATATGTTCAAAATCTGAAAGCAGATGCAAAACTGAGGTAAATTCAGCATATGCATTTACATCTACAACTAAGACTCTGAAGTACCTTTAGACTGTCACAAGGGAAATACGGGCATATTTATTATAATTCCTACTGATTTTTTACACTTATTTTAAAAGTTACATGTTTCCATACTGTATCAGCTGAGTTGACTCAAATCTTTTTAATCTTACATGGAATTAAGATTTAAATATCTCTCATTTTGCTATTCCTTATTTGTGACGCAGTGTAAGTGCTCAGTCTGAGTCAATGTCCTCTTCTGAAAGGCCAAAATTACCCAAATTTTGCAGAGAAATGATACTAAGATAAATGATGACGTAGTACACAGTCTGTCTATGAATGCAAAAAGCTGGAATTAAGCAGAGGGGAAGGAAATCACTGAGGCAGTGTCCTAATACAGGAATAGCACCTTGATCAACAGAAATCCTAAATCCTAAACCAGGCATGCTGTGCTGCACCGACTGAAGGTCTAAGTTTCTGACAGATCTAATGAGGACTTCACTGATGCCTGACACTGGGAGCAGATGGTTTCCAGTACCGTCAGGGAGTGCTCCAATCCACCAGCAAGGCAAGGAAAACATCTGGTTTCATTTGTCATTGCCCTGATCTGGCACTAGCTGCCTGCTCTCCTTGACGAAAACAGTTCTATGTACGAATGCTTCCAGGACTTACATAGCTAGAACTGCTGGTCTCTACTTCTCACAGCCCTCCTGTGCTTGTCTTCCCACGCCTCTGTCTCCGTGAACAGTATGCTGCTTCAGCTCCCAGTTACTACTGCAATGCACTACTTCCTTGGAGAAAGGGCTTTAAAACCCACAATCGTTAAGCCCTGTGTGGATGTCACATTGGAATGAAACCAGAAACTAAGTCTGTTGCTGGAGCTTGAAAGTTTCAGACTGGAATCTGTCTTATCCAGAACAGGAAAAATCTTGAGTCATTTAATTACAGAAAGAAAAGCTTCAGGTATCTCCCGGAAAAAAAAAACCAGCAAATAGTTTACATTCAAACAAAACTGCATTTCTATTGTTGTTATGATTTTGTTCATAGCATCATAATTCTAGGAGATTGCAGAAAAGTTCTAAAAGTATTTCAGAGCAAGCCTGTCTTAATGAAGCCAGTCTCCTAAGGCTCACTTCCAGACATTTGCCATTATGAGCTGAAATACTGCATTCATTAGGGACTGTAATGATAGGACAAGGGGTAACGGGTTAAAACTTAAACAGGAGAAATTTAGACTGGATATAAGGAAGAAGTTCTTTACTGTAAGGGTGGTGAGGTACTGGAATGGGTTGCCCAGGGAAGCTGTGAATGCTCCATCCTTGGTGGTATTCAAGGCCAGGCTGGACAGAGCCTTGGGTGACATGGTTTAGTGTGAGGTGTCCCTGCCTATGGCAGAGGGGTTGGAACTAGATGATCTTAAGGTCCTTTCCAACCCTAACTATTCTATGATTCTGTGATTTGCTCTCTACTTAGACTGGTAAAGTTTTAAGGTAAAGGAGAGTAAATTATCCCAGTGAAGGGGTGACTAAGAACTACTTTGACTTTATAAATAAATGAGTTTCTTAAGCTTTATATACAAGACCAAAACGTCTTGGGGAAACAAGACAAGAAGAGTTGCTCTGCAAACAGTTACCTTCTATTAAATATGTCGGATCATGAAGCTGTCGATGAAAGCAATGCTTCAGTATTGCAAAATGTGTACATTTTGACCTGGTTGGTTTTCTTAGATATAGTTATTGTATCCTTTTATGTCACAGTTACACAAATAAAGAAGAAATTAAATGGAGAATTCTAGTGTTGCAAAATTTAATGAAACTGCTTCACAGGACCACCCTACACAGAAGCTACACTACAGATTTTAGGACAACACAGTAAAGTCATTTCAACATTTTTGATCATAATGTAGCATTACAATAGAGCCATACCAGTCAAATGCATTTCTTCATAGTGGGCCTTTAGTGGAACCTCACAGAGCAGTGAGATGCTTGTGCTTTCAGTCTGATCTCAAGGTAAACTGTGAGATGTTGTAACGAGCTATGTTTAATTTTTAAACAGAGTAATGATTTATTTCATACTTTCACGGTCCTGGAAGTTAGCTTAGTCACACGTACTATGAAGGGAAGAATACTAGTTACTAAGTAAGTCACAGCAGGTTATTCAGTAGAATCCTTAGAGAGGTACTGGAAGGTAGCTCTTGCATTTTAAAAGTTACTGAATAACAATTGTGCTTTCATGTGTTACCACCATAACCCGTTTAGAGATCTTGAATCCAGGCCTGCACCAGTGTGCTGCTGAAGCGCCTGCAGCCATGACACCAGGTCATGGTTCAGCTAACACACCACGGCCCTTGGCCTCCTCCAGCTCCAGTGGCCTGGCCTGTGTGGCTCAAGGGCACTGTCTGTCATGCTGCTGCCTGCCTGAGGCAGAGCCTGAGGAGCTACTGCCCTGCAAGGATAGAGCAGCTTAGCCAGCCTGGAGTGAGAACATGTAAGAGCAACAGCCCTGCATACACCCAGGTCAGTGCAGGAGGGCAGGAGGTGATGCAGGTACCAGAGCAGAGGTTCCCCTGCAGTCCGTGGTGCAGACCATGGTGAAGCAGCCGTGCCCCTGCAGCCCGTGGAGGTCCATGGTAGAGCAGATCTACACCTGCAGCCCACGGAGGTCCATGGGGAGCGGATCTCCACCTGCAGCCCATGGAGGACCCCACACTGGAGAAGGTGATGCCTGAAAGAGGCTGTGACCCTGTGGGAAGCCCACACTGGTGGAGGGTCCTAGCAGGACCTGTGGCCATGCAGGGGACTGATGCTGGAGCAGTCTGTCCCTGAAGAGCTGCACCCATGGAAGGGACCCACACTGTAGCAGTCTGTCCCTGAAGAGCTGCACCCATGGAAGGGACCCACACTGTAGCAGTCTGTTCCTGAAGGATGCACCCATGGAAAGGACCCACACTGGAGCAGTTCGTGAAGAACTGCTGCCTGGGGGAAGGACTCGCTTTGGAGAAGTTCATGGAGGACTTTCTCCCGTGGGACAGACCCCACACTGGAGCAGGGTAAGAATGTGAAGAGGAAGGAGCAGCAGAGACAACGTGTGATGAACTGCCCACAACCCCCATTCCCTGTTCCCCTGTGCTGCTGGCAGGGAGGAGATAGAGAATTTGGGAGTGAGGTGGAGCCCAGGAAGAAGGAAGGGGTTAGGCGAAGGTGTTTTTTAAGATTTGGTTTTATTTCTCATTATCCCACCCTGATGCGATTGATAATAAATTAAACTTCCCCGTCGAGCTTGCTTTGCCCGTGACGGTAACTGGTGAGTGATCTCTCTCTGACCTTAACTCACAAGCCTTTTACCGTATATTCTCTCCCCTGTCCAGCTGAGTGGCTTTGGAGAGCACCTGCATCCAGCCAAGGGCAACCCCCCACAACACCTCATCCCAGCTTAGCCTTTTATTCTAGGAGGGGAAAAAAGGGGCTTTTAAACGATCAGCCCCGCTGCGCCCGACCGCCGTCTCTCTGGTCAGAGGCTGCCGTTACCTGCCCGTCGCCGGCGGGACGCCCTCCAGTACGTCCCGCTCTGAGGCCACCCCTACCTTGTTGAGCACCCGGTCGAAGCCCTGCGACTCTGTCATGTACTTCATGGCCTGCTTCAGGCTCTCCACCGTAAATCCCATGCTGCCAGCTCCGCTGCTGCCCGCGCTCCGGAACAGCAACTCCGGCGGGCGGAGCTTTCCCCCTAGTTTCCGCCCGGAGCGTCCCACCGCCGGGCAACCATGGAAGCGGCGGCGGCGGCGGCGGCGGAGGGGCGGCGGCGGCAGGAGGAGGAGGCGACGAGGTACCCGCAGGCTGGGGAGCAGCTGCCGGTGGTGGTGCCGGCGGCGGAGGAGGAGGAGCGGGAGCAGAAGCAGAAGGAAGAGAAGGAGGAAGAGGAGGAGGAAGAGTCCCCACTTGCTAAGCGGAGGAAGGTGCTGTGCTCCGAGTTTACCGCCATCACCAGCAGCGACGCGGCGGTGGCGCGCAGCTTCTTGGCCAGCAACGACTGGCACATAGAGGTACGCCTGGCCCGGGGGCCACGGTGGGCTGCCTCGGCAGCGGCCCCTTCCTTCCCTGCCATCTGCCTCTATGTTTCAGAGGGCGCTGAACGCCTACTTCGAGCCGCCGATGGAGAAGGAGGATGAGGCAGCGGGCAGGGTGCCGACGGTCTGCGCGGGGCCCGGGAGCTGGTAGGTGGTCGTGGAGCCCGGGACAGCAGGAGGGCTCGGCAGGCGGGGTGAGGGGAGCGGTGCCTCTCCACCCGCCTGTACCTCCGGGGTGCAGGCAGGGTCCCCGACACCCGAGAGAGCTGTGTCCGGGTCATAGTGTACCCTTGAGGAGCAGCGCTCCTCTCCCCATTTGACCTCGCACCTCTGCTGACATGCTGTGAGGCAGGTGGTTTGTGGTCTTCACACTGAAGTTTCTGCCGGAGTTCTCATTGCTTCCCATCACTATCCCCTTCGAGGGGAATAGCTTCTCCTGGGAGGCTGTCAGACTTGTGAGATGCACTTTCCCTCAGTGGATGCTTCAGCCACCTTCCTCTGGGATTGTGAGTCTTGGAGAAGGGATGAGCTCATTTGCCTTGTCTTGTGCAGCAATACATATGCAGATTTTACCGCACACACACGCATTTGTATATATGTAAACTGTGCATATATATCATATATTACATGTAGTTGACAAGAGGTAATAGCCTGATGCTGTGCCGGGGAGGTTTAGATTGGATATAAGGAAAAAGTTCTTCACTGAAAAGATGGTCAGGCACTGGAACAGGTTTAGAATCATAGAATAATTAGGGTTGGAAAGGACCTTAAGATCATCTAATTCCAAACCCCTGCCATGGGCAGGGACACCTTCCACTAGACCGTGTCACCCAAGATTCTGTCCAGCCTGGCCTTGAACACTGCCAGGGATGGAGCATTCACAACTTCCCAAGGAAGTGTCCAGAAACACTGTAGATGAGGCCCTAGTGACATGGTTTAAGGGTGGACTTGTCAGTCCTGAGGTAACGGTTGGACTTGATGATCTTAAAGGTCTTTTCCAACCTAGATGATTCTGTGATTCTGTGTGCATTTATATTTATATAAATAAAACTGACGTACATGCACACATTGTTAAATGTACCTGTGGGAGTTAGAATCTAAGATCTGTTCCTTGTACACACAGATTATTGCACAGCATACCCATAGGGCATACCGAGGGTATTGAACTGCATGTAGAATTGAACTTTTACAGATCCCTGCCATACGCAGTCCTGAGGGAAGTTTTTTTACTGTAGTATTATATATTAGACTTATGTGTTATATATAGAATTATGGAATAGGTTGGAAGGGACCTTAAAGATCATCTAGTTCCAACCCCTCTGCCATGGGCAGGGGGTTCCAACTAGACCCATCCAATCTGACCTTGAACACTGCTAGGGATAGGGCATCCACAGCTTCTCTGGGCAACCTGTGCCAGTGCTTCACCACCCTCAAAGTAAAAATTTTCTTCCTAATATCTAATCTAAATAACCCCTCTGTCAGTTTAAAGCCATTCCCCCTCATCCTATCCCTGCATGCCTTTGTAAAAAGTCCCTCTCCAGGTTTCTTGTAGGCCTCCTCTAGATATTGGAGGACTGTTATAAGATCTCTCCTGAGCCCTCTCTTCTCCAGGCTGAAAAAGCCCAACTCTCTCAGCGTGTCTTCAAAGCAGAGGTGCTGCAGGCTCTGATCATCTTTGTGGAATGGCCAGTTCCACATCCTTCTTATGTTGGAAGCCCCAGAGCTGGACGCAGAACTGCACAAGAGCAGAGTAGAGGGGCAGGATCACCTCCTTTGGCCTGCTGGCCATGTTCCTTTTAATGCAGCCCAGCATACAGTTGGCTTACTGGGGTGCAAGCGCACACTGCCAGCTCATGATGAGCTTCTCCTCAACCAACAGCCCAAGTCCTTCTCGTCAGGGCTGCTCTCAATCCAGCTCTCATCCAGCCTGTAGTTGTGGTTTGGATTGCCCTGGCCCGAATGCAGGACCTTGCACTTGTTCCTTGCAGGACCTTGCACTATAAGGATCATAAGACCTCTTATGATCTTTATAGTTATAAACTGTATTTGGTAACAGCATATCGGCTTTTGCTTGATATGTATTGAGACGAGGCACAAAAGCACAAAATGTAATCAGTTCTAAGTAATGGTAAGTTTGATGGCTTTGTAATGGAAAATAACTGCAGCGCTTGAAGGTAGTTGACATAGTTTCAGGTCCTTAGGACCTTAGTACAAAAGGTGTAAGAAAAGCAGAATAGATAAACAGGACCTGGGGATGGGGAGCATCTGGGACTAGCAGATGTCCAGGATGGGAGCAGTTAAACTAACCGATAAGTAGAAAGACAGGGTGATTACTATGTCTGTAATGTTAATTAAGCTGGTTATGGAGATTGTTGGGAAAAGTAAACGACCCTTAAAGACCACCATCACATTTTTGTATGCATGCCGGAAACTTTCTGGATGTAATATGCCCAGTGACCATATAAGGATGGCCTGTATAGCAATACAGGGACACACGTTAGGAGGAGCTATTCCCCGTGTCTCCCAGCACGCTACAATAGAGAATACCTCCTTGTCAACTTGAAACTCTATTGGCGAGTTTGTTCCTGGAGTTTTCTCTGAATCAGTATGTATGAAAAAATGCAAGCCTACTGAACATTAACATTAGTCTGTGTGTAGTCCATGATGAGTTAGAATATATCTGTATCAAATTGGCAGCACCTTTTTCACTACTTGCCTCTGTCTTTTGCACTGTGGCTTCTGCCTTGAGCTGTTATATGGCAGGATGTGTTGGAAGGGAGGACTATTTGAAGACCTTCCAGACCACATAGACTTTTGTATTTCATCTCAGTCCTTCAGGTTACAGTATAAATACAGAAAGTCATCATGGAGATACTGGAGGCATATACCGCATTATTTACCTATTTAAATATCCCTTAGCTTCCTCTTTTTCCTCTGCTTTCCTTCTTCTGTTCAGTTTAGATTACATGTGCATGGTAGTGGACTCTTAGGTTGTTTATGCAGCACTAAGTACAAAACCAGTACTAAGATCTAGGGAATAGATTTGGTTTGGTTCCAGGCCTTATTTTCATGTGTGCATACAAATTCTATGTTTAAAAGAAAATTCTGGTATCGTTACTTTGCCAAAATACAGTTTATCTAGTCTTAGCTATACTGTTTAATGTATTTTGTTACAGACTTTACTCAAGGAATTTGCTTTGGATCACTGTTGTGATTTAATCCCGGTGGGCAACTCAGACCCACACAGACACTTAACTCACTTCTCCTTGGTGGGATGGGGGAGAGAATCAGAAGGGTAAAGTGAGAAAACTCATGGGTTGAGGTAAAGACAGTTTAATAGGTAAAGAAAAAACTGTGAGTACAAGCAAAGGAAAACAAGTAATTCAGTGCTTTCCATGGGCAGGCAGCTGTTTGGCCATCCCCAGGAAAGCTGGGCTCCATCATATGTAGTGATTACTTGGGATGACAAACACCATAACCCTGAATGTTCCCCCTTCCTCTTCCTTTCCCCCTGCTTTTATTGCTGAGCGCAATATTGTATGATGTGGGATATCCGTTTGGTCAGTTGGGGTCAGCTGTCCTGGCTGTTCCCTCCCAGCCTCTTGTGCATCTCCAGCCTGCTTATTGGAGGGGCAACAGAGAAGCAGGGAAGGCCTTGATGCTGGGTAAACACTGCTCACAACAGCTGACACATCCCTGTGATATCGTTTTGGTCACAGGGTAGACGAGGTCTGTGTTTTTGAGGTGAGATTTGGAGTGAATATTCCCAAAGAAAAAGGCTATCAATTTGTTACATAATGAGTTAACACATTTATCTCCCCAGGGGTTTGGCAATTGAAAACACTTGGCTGTACTACAAAGATGAGCACATAAAAGCAAGTCCTGGCTGCAGTCCTTCATTTTTAGTATGCTGGAAAGTGTTTGAAAAACTAATACACCCAGCCTGTCTTTAGCACAGGGAAAGAGTTGAATTATTCAAGTGCTTTGGATTACATTGGTGGCTGTCTGATTAACTTAAATCAGAATGGTAAATGTTATTTTGTGTGTATAAGGAGGAGGAAAACCCACTTACTTCTCCTGTGTACTAAGGCTATGGGTGACTGAGGTCTGTATGTTACTGTGCTTTTAAATTATGTTGACGTTCAGAATGCATGGGTAAAGGTCTTTCCGAATCTTCGTTAGCAAAGACAAGCCTTCCTCATAGGAGAAGGAAAACTCCTATCTTCAAACCCGGGCTGATGGAGCTCATCTAGCCATGTATGGTCTTCCATCTAAGAGAAGGGCACTCTTACAAAACCTGCAGACTTTGCTGTCACCGTCCTAGCTAACTAGGCCGTGGCAGTTAAACCTCAGGTGTAAAGGGTGGGACCAGTTCTGCGCAAGCTGCACTTCACCTAAAAAAATCCGCTGCACAGGCTGGAAGGGCTGACTCTCACTTGTCTGTATGGACAGGCGAGGGTTGAAACGGTAGGTGACAAGGTGCATGGGAAGCTGCAGATCCAACCTTGCATGTGGGTGGACCAGCGCATGGGTAGCTCGAGTTAGCTCGGGAGATGACAGTCATGGTCGGACACTTAGTGATTGCCCAAGCAGCCTTTTTTTCCAACCAGATTCGCATATCCCACATGCCCTTGGTCATCGTGCATGTGG